TGAAACTCAAGTTAATAATTTTAAAAATCCTCATTCAAAAATTTTAAGTTCGTTTACATTACGTTTATGTTAACTACAATATAAAACATTATCACTTCTCTATTTGCTTTACTTGATACAGATTTTCAAAATGTAACAAAAATAAGGATACTTTTTTATAATTTTCATACAAAAATGTATATAATTATAATATAGAAAATTGAATTTCGTAATGTGTATCTATATATGATTTTTGTTGGTACATATAAGAAATATTGTAACTAAAATTAAAATGAAGGAAAAATCATGAATATGAAACATTTCTTTCCACCAGACTTTAAAAAACACATTTTAACGTTCATACTTTAAGCCGCTTTTCATTGAAGTTTCTGAATTACGACGACAACCTGTCGTCAGATGTTGGCTTTGCGTCAATGTAAGGGAGCTATTTTAATTTCGAATTTCAGACGACCCTGATGTACTCTATAAGATATACAGTTAGTATTTCATTTCAATTGATCTGTGAATTTGGATTCTTCAGAAGACAGTAAATAATTTGAAAGGTGAGGCACTGAATTTTCATTGCTATGCAAAGTAACATGTATGAATACCATGTGTTACTAACCACACAATATCCTAAGACACTATAACATATCGTAGTAATCAAATATAGATTTGTTAGTTTTACGTAATTACATTTTTTATTAACATATGAAAATTTCATTATTGTTACCGACCTTGTGGTATTAATTTACTTAATATTTGATATTTTCAAATTGGTAGAAAATAATTCTACTTTTCCATTTTAGATGTGTGAACCAAAATATTATGGAAAAAGAAGGAGCATCGTCCGTAGAATTGGTTCATTTCTGCCTTTGAAACCACCACCAAAAATATACGTCAGTGTTACACCTTTACATTCAATGACAAATTCTATGATCAATGAAGAAACCAGCAGTGATTACAAAAATACAAATGGATTTGAACAAGCAAGGTAATTGCATAGTCGTATTGAATTTTATATGGCTTCGTTAATTTGATAATTCATTCATTCAAAAACATATGTTTTATATTAGGTTCTCTAATATCAGGCCAGATTTATTGGAACCACTTAGTTTTGGGTCTGAAGTTCGGTTGCTAGCATTAGAACAGGAACTTCAAGAACTTAGGGAACAAGTATCGGCGATTGTTAAAAGCAATAAGCAATCTAGATGTTTGTATAAATAGACGATACATATATTATTCTATTACTTATTATTTAGCGCATACATTAAAAAGAGTGTATCGATCAAAACACATTTCAGACACGTCCACTGCATCTCTAGCAAATGGTAATAATGAAAATGCTACACAGATACAGTCACCGCCACCGCCACCGCCACCACCATTACCACCACCTACAACTCCTCATATTGCAAGGAGAGCAAGTTTACAAGAACATAAAGTTGAAGAACACAAAAAACCATTAAATTCACAAGCATCTATGATCGATGTTTTCAAAAATATTGAGGGCATTCAACTAACTTCGGTTGCTAAGTAATATTGATTACTATGTTTGTATGTTTGTTGTGCATATTTATTGCAAATTATAAGATGGTACAATGTAATTTTTCAGGTCTCCAAGAGGACGAACTTTTCATATGAAACGTGAGAACAGTCCTTGTAATGACTTGCTAGAGATATTGCGAAAACGATATGTACCAACGAATTCTGGCAACACTAGGAATTCTACAGTTAATTTGGCACTGGGCGATTCTCTACCAAGTGATGCATGAAGACATTCTATTGAAAGTTTTTCGAATGAGCATCGTGTGAGATACATGTGCCATATATTGTTTCGGACGGTGTTAGTAACAGGCTAATGAATTTAATGGTTAGTTTTAAGACAGATGTGCATTGAAAATGCATTGCAAGGGGTATGAATGATGTAAAGCTGATATGGCTGAAACCATTGAAATTGTGATTAACGGTTTTATTTCACAAATTAACTTTTACATTGTGATCTTAATCACATTATCCAAAGATGTAATTAATTGCATCGTAAGCACAGACTAACAAATTGAGTTGTCGATTAATAGCATTGTGTAAGATACATATGTTCAAATTGTGTAAAGTATATAAGTTTACATTTTCTTAACGACATAGGAATATGGATTATTTAATTCGAAGTAGTAAAAAACAAATCTTGTTGAAATGTATATATTGTAACGCATGTCCTAAAAACTTACATTTTTTTATTAATTCGAAAAGTTCGTGAACCACGAAGTTTTTTGGATTGTAGTAAGTAATATTGTAGTTCTCTTTGTGCAAACAATTCACTATTTTTATTTATTCTATGAAACACAATCGCATTGATTAAAAGAGTTTCGTTTACCCAACTAACGTTTTTGCATTTGCTGAAGAAATAAATCATTCAGTAAGTTTTTAGCGATCAGTTTTGATATGAAAAGGTACATATCTGAGATTTTTAAAAATTTATTGCTCAATATTGTTGAAGTGTAGCTTTTTACTTTCTGCCTGAGAACTACATTTACGCTTCACTTTAGATGAGAACTAGTATTTATTTTAACTTTGATGAAACGCAGTGTCTCGGACACTGCTTTCTAGAGCCATATTAGATTATTTTAAATTATGTACGTTCAAAATGTCTCAATTCTTAGGCAGGAATGTTGTGATATTAAAGTCATGGAATTACGTTTATGCATTAGATTCTGCTGTAGAGAACAGTACACATATTCTCTGTAAGTAAGAGCACAGGCTTTCCACGCAATGATCAGTCGTACAGTTACATTTATGGCATACATTATATATAACACATGTTTTCACAGTACCGAGTAAACGAACATTTAATAGAATATGCACACAATGAGATGACAACACGGATTATGTCTTATGACATTATGCTCTTAAAATATCACTGTGTGATAAATTTTACGTTTGCCTGACTTGCGGCTGCTCTTATAAAGAATCTAGGAACAAATGTAGTACATAATTGTCACAATGATTTGTGATTAATCAAAGATTAACATACTTTCAGTTGGTATTCTTTATCGAAGTAACATTTAACGTTTGCTTTCAACAATTTTTTGACACTGACGTATTTAAGGAACGTAATCTTCTGTTGAAAGGGATGTCATAATAGATTTTGGAGACTGAGTGTATCTTTAACGATATTAAAAAATGTACAGAAGATCTGTTTTATACATGAAGCTTTTATCAATAATTAACAAAAAATAAACGTTATTGTTGAACAACAAACTGTGTATTTATTTGCATGCTTGTTATTTTATAAGTCAACGTTATCATTGTCAATTACAAGAATATTATATGAACAAAAAACGAAAGGTCACAAGTGTTTTTTTTAATCTAATTGAATAATATTAAGTTTAAATAAATTCATTGATGTGCAGTGTCTGAAATTAAATTTAAATTAAATATAGATCTTACAATTACCTCATGTATGAACGAAAAAAGTTTTTAAAATTTGTTATTGTGCAACTACGACAAGACTATGATGATAGAAAAGTATAATGTAAAAATGTTGACAGCTGTCGTGATCGCTATAGCGGGTTCAATTATGAATTGCAAAAATACTTTCTTTTTATCTTCATTCATAGATTTCCTGATATCATTGTCATTACTTTAAAAAATCGTGACCCGGAAAACAAGTTTAAAATTTCTTTTGTATTCTTTAAATTTTGCACTACGAATATGCGTACATATGAAACATTTAAACATGTTCAATTCTGTTTAAGGAGAGTCTTTAACGCATCAATTTTCTCGGGCAATTTCTAATTTAGTTTAGGAATTATGAGTTCCATTCTGTAAGTTCTCCTATATTTGTTTGTACACAAATATAATGCAAAATATGATTCGGTTTATCGTTAAACAAGAAAACAGATTACAGCGTCAATTGATTTTTTTCGATCAAGTTGTTTATGACTCTCTGAATCAAAGAAACCTGTTCATCGGATTGAAGACACACTATGCCAGAAAAATTAGCCATTAATTAATTTACTTATTTTGTCTATGAGGAAATCAGAATATAAGAAAAATTCTTTAATTATTAAACAATCCTTGAACGTAAGGATACTAATTCTAAACTAGTAAATACTAAACGCGACTGTTGTAATACCGTTTTATTATAATGACAAGATTGGATTTACTCTAACTTTGTACGATTTCTATTATAATATATGCTTAAATAAAGAAATTTATTAAAAAATTTCTCCTCTCACTCTCATAATTTCAACAACTGTAAAAGAAAAAGTCAGAAACGAGTCATTTTGAGCCGTTTGTTATTTCCAGTACAAAATAAAAAAAGAACGTTGTGTATTACAGGAAGGGAAATGCAAAGGTCACGAAAGTACAATGCTGAAATGATCGTTGTTTAGATGATCTATTGATGTAGTGACCTGGTTTAAAACATTAATAACATATAGGGTGTCCCAAAATTATTGTACAAGCGGGAAATGAGGGGTTTCTGAGATAATTTTCAAATTATTATTATTTATTTCAAATTATATATTATTTCATATTATATTTCATATTATATATTTATTTTTATTTCAAATTATTATTACTTCAGTAAGTTTTTCCTTAGCGATAATGTAATGCGCGGCTTCGCTTACGAATTATTAACGAAAAACGCTGCCAACAGCGTCAGCGGTCGAGCGGTCGAATCCTAGCTCAGCTGGCGCGCGGCGGCCGAGCCAACGGCGCCAGCGGTCGAGCGGTCGAATCCCAGCTCAGCTGGCGCGAGCCGGCCGAGCCAACGGCGCCAACGGTCGAGCGGTCGAATCCCAGCTCGGCTGGCGCGCGGCGGCACAGCGAACGAGTGCACGGAGCTGTTTTTCGTTAATAACTTGTACACAAAGCCGCGGATTGCATTTTTGCTAAAGAAAAAGTTACTTCAAATGACCTCAGGAGTCGCTCTATTCCTGCTTTTACAATAATTTTGAGACACCCTGTATATTTTGATTGCTCAGACAAGGGTTCGAGCAATTTTTGTCGATGGTTTGTTTGGGTCGATGACGTAGTAGTCTATTCAATATGAGATATAACGCACGAACTACCGGTAGACTATTCTCCGTTAGACTTAACAACCCCTTTTAGAAACTTTTAACGTGTTAATTAAACTCTAGCGTGTAATTTACTCTAGTTTCCGGTAAGTTCGGTACAATGGTCCCTAATAATAATTAGTATCCTGGTATGGCCGATTTTATTATATGCGTTACCAAATCCAAACTTTTGATAATATGGTATAGAACGGCACGAGAGAAGGGGTTCTAATAAGAGATATATGACTGAAGGGCGAGACATGGTTTCCCTATATAAAGCTGCTTCCAACGACTTTTGGTGTCAGTAAGGTAAATTTTGAGGCAACTGGCTCTTCGGGACGTTGGCAATCTTATCGTCGTTATTTGAAGGTAATAGTAACGATATTGTGTAATGTTTTCTTTACATGAAGGTATTTTGATTAGAAAGCATTAGCGCATTTTACAACGTTTTCGACATTTTTGCCAAAGTGAACGTTGCAATTTAAATATGGATCTTTTTAGAAATACTCTTGTACGATCTAATAATTCTCTTCAGATTTCATCGACTCAATGGAAGTTAAATCCAAATGCTTTCTTTGCAACGTAAACAATGCTGTTTATAACTTTTAACATAATGCTGAAAAAGTCGATACAATTTTAACAGTGATCTCGCGTGATCCGGTAATTCTTCCAAATTATTCGGATTTAATGAGCGTTATTTGGAAACAATTTCCTCTCTCCAACTATAACGAAGGAATACTGAAATACAAGATTAAGGTGATTAGAAAACATGTCGCTCGTAAAGAAAATAATTTAACAAACCGCGTGCAGGTAATGGAGCTACTAATGGCCATAAATAAAACGTAACAGACCAATATTTATTGCCGAAAAATGGGAAAAGTAAATAGGATAGCGGAGTTTATAATTGCTGTAACGCGAAATAAATTGTATGATAATACGGTGGGGAAGATTGCAAACAATTTCCAAGTTAATGAGAAGTCTAGAAAATATAACTAAGACATTCCGTATAATCGATAGGAAAGCAATATCCGATAAACAAATTATTAACAGATCAGGGCGTTTATTCGATTTTATGATTTGAAACGTGATTTACATTGACTTTTGAAACGCAATTATTACCTGTTTTAACAACTTTATTTCCCGATTTAATAACTTAATTCGGTTCTAAAAATTGAAAACTTTATTACCTGTTCCAATAATTTCATTTTAAGTAACACTTTAATTCTGACTCTCGCTACTACACGATCGACTATTTCATAATTATATAATTCTGACAATCTGTAATCGAATTACGTTCGAGATGCAAATGGTACTATAATTTAAATGATCTGCAAATTGTACTATAATTTAAATGAGATCCATTAGTTCAATATTTTGAAAGATTTCTGCTGGAGCCTGATTCGAACGCTTTAACAAATAAACTTCGCGGAAACGAAGGTATCGCGAAAATATATCTCAAAATCTCGTTCAATGGCTCGCACGACGTAATTTTTGCAAGTATAGCGCATGCATGGCATGCTATATACACGTAAATTGTAAAGAATAGGGAAACGATATTAACGGTTACGAGGTTGCGATAGATTTAATTTGCAAAAGACACAGCGGAAAAAACGAAGGATCCTCGAATCGTCGAAAACAAATAAAAAATCAACTTTTGATCGGTATCCACGGTGCCGATAGAATGGCATGAGATCACAGTTTATCGAGTGCACGATTATTTTTCTTCCCCCGTTCGGATTGCAGTTTCGGATGATTGATTCCTTTGATTGCGTAGTGAGTTATTCGCGTGAGATTCAATCTGTCGTATTGATTTTTTAATCCGTCGAATAAAATTTATTTCCCAAGCATACTGGGACAATTTGCGTGGTCATATACAGGCGCGCGAATTTCTGATAAACAAAAAAAGAAACGCAGGAGCGGCTTTGTTTGAAACGGATCGCGGAGAAATTTTGCGAAATATTATATTATAATGTAAAATAAAGTTATTATTATTATAACAATTATTATTATGATATAAAGAATATTCTATTTGCGTAGTTAGAAGTTATATTCGATTATTACTTTCACGGTCTTTTGTTCCAAAGTAAGTTTATTGCATTGATAAAAGTGATAGCTTTGGTATTCTTATTTCAAAATTGTTGAAAGTATAAAGTCTTTCTCACAGAAAATGATTCAATAAGTTAAACATCGTTTTCGAAACAGGCGAGAAATATAAATGAATTCGGTCTTGTCATTCTCGCAAGAGAACAAGCGTCGGTTTCGTTTCTTTCGGAGAAAGAGAACTCGGAGAAATTTTATAAATCTTGAGAAGACATTTCAATTTGTAGCAATTCCAGTAAAGGCATTTTGGGAAAAAATGAACGATAAATGGTGGGAGCAGAGGGTTCGAGCTTTAAAATGAGCAGAAATTGATCGTTGAACGGCCGAAATATCGATAGTTTTCCGAAAATCAGAAATCCTGCGCGCGAATACGTTTCGGTGCCACCGTGCGCACGCGAAACCATCGGAAAGTCCTCAGGAATTCACGATGAATCGCGTGCGTAAATTCCTGGCCGAACACGAGGCGGGGCGGAAAAATCGGCGGCGGCGGCCCGTCTTTGCGCGTATCGCCATTATTGCCTAAGGTCGAACAATGCAAATACGGTGGACACGTTTCGCGCGTTTCCGACGACACCGAGAAATGGATCGTCTCTATGCGACAGAGATGCTGGTCACGTCTCTTATCCGCGGGACACTTAGTAGCACTTACTCTTATCTTAATGACCGGGGACGCGGGTAGCGTTAATGGTTCCTTTAAAATTAGCACGTGGAAACGTACGAGGGTACTCTAAAATTTTTCGAAAAAACCCTCACGTGACGCGCCGCGTACCCGGTTGTCAATGCGGCGCAGATAAATGTTCCGGCTCCTCGTTTTTCTTCTGTTCTGCCGGAGCCGTGACTCCTTTCGACGAGGAGCTGTCCGTGAACGAAACGAAATTAACGCGGTCGCTCGTAACGCAGCTGGCGAATGTTAAGTAAATGCGTTTTAACATTCGTGGAACAGCTTCTTCTTTTCTTTTTTTACTTAACGAGCCTGCTAATCGGGGGATCTGCGAGTTAATTTGTGAAATGGATGGAATCGAGTGTGACTTCGAGGAATTCGATAGCCGAGCAAGAATTCGCCTCGCTTTGTTCCCATTTTATCGCCGCTGGTGTTTGTCCCTGCGAGGGTCGTTAGCGGCTAACAATTATTTATTTCGTGGAATAGGATAAAATTCTCGTTTCCGTGATAACGTCGGAACGACGACGATAATTTCGCTACTTTGTAAACACAAATCAATTTATCCGCGCGCGCACACGGTTGTACAGTAATGTCTCCCTAATTCGCGCTCGGATCGCGTACAGAAATGGACAATTTGGGAAGAGGAGACACGATTGTTCGAACCTTGTGACTTGTTTTTTATAGTTATCGATTGTCAACAACTATAAAAACGAGCTGCAAGGCTCTAACAATCGCATCTCTTCCTCCCAAATTGTCCAGTTTTGTGCACAATCTGAGCGTCAATTAGGGAGACATTACTGTAGTCGGTCTTCGTACGTGCGCTCGGAGAATACAGTAATTTCTCCCTAATTCGCGCTCGGATCGCGCACAGAAATGGACAATTTGGGGAGAGGAGACACGATTGTTCGAGCCTTGTGACTTGCTTTTTATAGTTATCGATTGTCAACAACTATAAAAACGAGCTGCAAGGCTCTAACAATCGCATCTCTTCTTCCCAAATTGTCCAGTTTTGTGCACAATCTGAGCGTCAATTAGGGAGACATTACTGTAGTCGGTCTTCGTACGTGCGCTCGGAGAATACAGTAATTTCTCCCTAATTCGCGCTCGGATCGCGTACAAAAATGGACAATTTGGGAAGAGGAGATACGATTATTCCAGCCTTGCGGCTCGTTTTTGTAGTTGTCGACAGCCGGTAATAATAAAAACGTGCCACAAGGCTCGAATAATCGTATCTTCTTTTGCCAATTGTTTCCCAAATTTTTGTGCGCGATCTTAGCGCGAATTAGGGAAAAATTACTGTAGCTATGCGGACGATTCCAGGTTCATGTTTCATTGTCATACCTTAGGCAATCGTGTCAAATCGCAAGACAATAAGAGGGAAGCAAAAAGAAATATTGCGATATCTTGGATGAAAAATGACTACAGATTTTCAAAAAGATTGTTGTTCAAACCGTTAAAATTACTTCTGTTAATTGAATCAGAACGATTTAAATTTATACGCATAGCGAAATTTCCAAATCAACAGAAAAATATTTTAATTGATAATAAAACTAACGTTTTATTGGACAGTAAGATTAAAAAGAATATCGGAGAATTTATTTACGTTATTTCGCGAATTGTATTCACTATTCGAATCTTTCTCCCCCGGATTCTCTCTGCAATAATCTGCTCGTTTTTATTTACCTATGGTTAGTAACGGCTGCGAAGAACGCAAATCGTTCGTTAACCGAACAAATGGATGTGCCAATGGGCGAAACTCTAAGTGGAAGTTCAACTGCAGTTGGTAATTAAATTATCATCGGATTCGGATCGTCGTTTCACGCGATCGAGCATTTTACTTTGCGACGGTCCATTGGAGATTTCATTCGAACGACGCGAAAATTGCTGCGGTAAAATTGCGCAAGGGCGAATAGTTTCATCGAATCTTTCATTGCGTCACGTCGGGTATCATGTTTCCCCTCGAAATTGTTATACGAGATTTCTCAAGATGCCGAACGTTCCGTTGCGACGCAAGTACGAACGTGCAACGCGAAACGCGCGTGAAACATCGAGACGATCGTTGTCGTTATTATTGAAAATACAACGATTCACGAATACATTTAGAATTTTAAGTCGACATATTAAAATATTGCAAAAATGGTATAAAAATAAATATTCTACATTAAGATTTCTGTGTTGTTATAGATTGTATCGTTGAACTTTAAGTATTTTAATTGACTATAGTATACTATAGCACTATAGTCAGTTATAACTATAGCACTAATAGCACTAATAGTATACTATACTACACTATACTACACTATACTATACTATACTATAGTACTAATAGTATACTATACTATTATTGTACTATAAATATTGTAGTACTAATAGTATACTATACTATTATTGTACTATAAATATTGTAGTACTAATAGTATACTGTACTATTATAGTACTAATAGTATACTATACTGTTATTGTACTATAGATATTATAGTACTAATAGTATACTATACTATTATTGTACTATAAATATTATAGTACTAATAGTAC